TAGGGATAGATGTGCTAAGTTTTCCTAACTCCACCTTAAACCGATCTCTCTCTTCATCTAGTTCAGTTCCATTCACAGGCTCGATTTCTTCTTTAAAACAAAGCATCTCACAATCGTTAAATGTGAAATCCCTACTCACAATGATCTTAACCCCTTTTTGACTTCTATCTTATAACATATAACCCTTAACACCCTTAGGGTATCCTAAAAAACACACTTTCTAGCTCTAAGTTTAAGCTCTTTCTCACTCTGATGAGAAAAAAGCAGTGGAACCAAATGTTCTAAGCATAGAGTAATCAATAAGTTTACCAGATCACCTCTCATGTAGAGTATCGCCATTTAAAGCGGCAGATGGAGTCGAAATTAATCAAATAATAAGCAATCATAACAATTTCACCCCAAAATGACTTTGGAACACCAAAACTTAAAATCATGCAATATACTTTATCAATTATGGTTCTATTCATCCTTTTCGCTACCCAGTTTTGCTAGGAAGTGTAAGGAACCGTTTTATGTCTTGTTATTCTATTTTCTTTACACATACTATCAAATTCAGTGTTACAAAACTCGAGGCCATTATCTGAAATTTAATCTTTTTGCTAGTTTGGTTTTCCACATGTCTCTTCCAGTTATTCAAGTTGTTTAAAGTTTCATATTTATCTTTCACAACATAAGCTCTAATATCATTTATTGCAGAAATCTCTCGAGAAATTTTGATTCCGAGCTCAGAAAACAACCAAATGAATACCAGTTTATCTCGGCTCGACCCAAACCTTTAACCTTTACTTTAGCGGCTCCAAGAACTCTCAAACCCCACAAAGAGAAATGGATGGTGGTGGTAATAGGAAGAAGAAGAGGCAACAATGGTGGGAATCACTCCAACAAACCACCAAGCCGGCTACTCCCCACTCTGGGCCTTTCCCTCTCTCTTCTGCATGCACATACATACCACCATAAATGGCTACAAGAAGAAGGAACTTAATATATATTAGGATATTAGGTTTGGGCTTAACTTGTTCATTTGCATGGGCTAAAGGTATTGGACCAACAATAATCTAAAACCACATACTAATGAAACCATCAATCCAACTCCAACTTGGGCCTTCCAAAAGTGTTGCACATATTTGAGTCGAGCCAAGTCCATGATGTCGATAAATTATCCGACAACTGTTTTAAATCATTGCCCGAATTTATTGGGTATCAAAACCCAACAAATCTCCACCTTGATGCCCAATAAATCTGCAAGTAATCAAGACACAAAGTTTATACTTGCATAATCAAGGCAATCAATAAAATTGGATCACAGGCCTTACCTCGTGTTTCCAACCTGAAAACATATACCATACCTGCTCTATGTACTCACTAGGACTAAGATCAAAAACACCCAAGTAAAAGCAGATATTGATCGTAAACAATCAAGAGCAAATAAACATGCGATGACAATATATTATAGGATAACACACACAAATCTTTTCAAAAACACATTCACATAAAACCACATATCAATACCAAGTTAATTACACACACGGTCAAACACATACAACCAATGCATAAATGACACATGAAAAGATCTCACCACAGTTATCTCATTCCATTCCATGTTGCTCACACCTCAAGAACACATATTTCCTCTCATCGCCCACTGTGCTTACTAGACTGATCGCGTCTAATTGGTAAATCACAATAGATCCTAAGTTCTCGGAATAATCCTTTATCACCACATCACTTGGATAATAGGTCTCCACCTAATAGAAGTGTCTCTCTCACACTCCACCTGTATAGGATCTATTCACAGATAAATGATTCTAATATTTAATCACCTCTCCACTCATGATTCAAAGGTCACACTCCACATCCCCCATACATATTACCAATGCACATTCAGACATATATTTCACCTTACCAATAAACACTCAACACATTGCTAATGCATCTCAAACCCACTATGACAAATCAATACCTTTTGAAGATCAGGGCTCAATTTAAACTTACCCACGTATCACAAGGTTACTCTAATCACCAATGCTCAAAAAATCTACAAAGGAAATAGCGAAGGTGACACTCATGAAGGGAATAGAAGAAACAGTTGGTTACTTCACTACACTCACAGAAAAAGCTCACAAAGAGAAAGAAGATAACCATACATGACTGCCTCACACAATTTTACAAACTACACAAGCTCACAAAGATATAGGAGAAAATGACTACCCATCTTTCTTCTCACTACTACACTCTCACACCACTCACATAGCAAACGAAGTATGCCACAAATTTCAACCACTATGCATGCAAACTCATTATACAAAGTAATAAAATCACTCTAATTTATGCAATTACACACATCAAATATATTGAAAGTGGAACATATCGAAATTGAAAAAGACTTACGTAATCACATGCATGCAGAAAGGATTGCACACAGATGCAAATGTAGTAACTAGGTTTACTTTCAATAAACTTCACACAAGTCATCACTCGACCAAATGACGACATTCGCCTAACGCAAACGAAGTATGCCACAAATTTCAACCACTATGCATGCAAACTCATTATACAAAGTAATAAAATCACTCTAATTTATGCAATTACACACATCAAATATATTGAAAGTGGAACATATCGAAATTGAAAAAGACTTACGTAATCACATGCATGCAGAAAGGATTGCACACAGATGCAAATGTAGTAACTAGGTTTACTTTCAATAAACTTCACACAAGTCATCACTCGACCAAATGACGACATTCGCCTAACCTCTCTCTTTATTTTTCCTTTTATTATCATTACTAGGACAATCTATCTCACCACAGATTTTACTTTTCACACTTGCCTTAGGCCTATGCATGCCATCAATACCAAATAATGACCACAAATAAAGTATAAATATAATTCACATAGAATGATCAAATAAACTTTTCTAAGGTAACATGCAATTCTAACAGTGTAGAAAAATTAGCAACAAATTCACAAAGAACTTAAGGTAAATAATTCCTAAGTCTAGCAACAGGTAATGGCTACCTCTTCGCAGTAACCCCAAACCTAACGTCACTCCATGCGATGACTTCTAATACGAACAATAAATAATTAATCTACACAATAGATTTAACTGTAATAATAAAAGGCAAAGAACACAATTCTAAACGGACCATGTCTGAAGGTCCGTAAAATATCGAGAGACACAAATTCACCATTTTAGGATCCTCACTATTCATCCTATCTATTCTATATAAGCTTCTACATGGACATCAAACCAATTTAGGACATTTGTTAATGCATATTGTTATGATCTAGTGGGATAAGTTGCATACCTAAGGCTGGAGCAAGCTATCATCAGACATTCACTAGTCTCACATCTTAGCACTCATGCCCAGATGTCGGTAATACATACTCGGGCTAGTTTGAAGGTGGTAGGGAAAGGATGGGAAATTGGGCGAGGTCAATTAGCAATGAATTATAATGTAAATAGACGTGCCTATTAATAAGATATTTCATAGACTTTTTTTGGGTCTGAATTAGCATTTTTTTTAAAGAATCGAATGTTTAAGAGAAGGTTTTTCAAACCCCTACTCATTTATTTTATTCAATTCTCCATAGTTCAATGTTAGAGTGAAGTTTAGCAAGACAAATTGTAGCCATAATAATAACGAAGATAAATTCAATTTGTAACTAGAGATCCAAATTTATGATACAAGAAATTTGTTTAAGCTAGAACTACATCAGAAACAAAACGAGAAATAGCTCATTAAAATTTATCTAAAATGCAAATTTTTAATCATAGTGCATTTATCACGTCACTATCTACTTCATCTCTTACTCAATAATTATTTAGATAAAGATACTGGCACATAATTTTTTATACATAAGGGTATTCACCTCTCACATGGTGTCGGGCCCACTCGAATATTTTGTTCGAATGGGCCCTACCTACGTGAGAGGGTGAACACTTCTATGTACTAAAAATTATGTACCCCTGGCATTTACCTCATTATTTACCCGCCTTACATCTTTCCTTCTCTCTAGCGCATCTCCTACTTCCTGCCTCTTGCTAAATGATAGTAATTCTAGGGACTCTCGAGCTATTTTCAAGTATGGATTAAGGGAGGTGATGAATACATTTGAAATTAGAAGGGACACAACATAGAAAATGGGCAGGATGTCTTCGGGAAAAAAGAACGATGACAAATTATGTAGGAATGGCAATCTGGTTCGAGCAGCTCGTGGCTCGGCTCGAAAAAAGCTTGAGCTCGCCCTGCTAGAGGCTCGGAAGAATCGAGCCTCATTTTGGGGTGCCGGGCAAATCCTGAGCTTGCCAGTGTGGCTCATCGACTCGAGCTTACAAGCGTATATTTTATAATAAAAAAAAAAGAGAACATACAAAAAAAAAATAAATTTAAAGGCTGCCTATTTTTGGTGGCTGGTTACTGCTATGTTTGGTAGCAACCGGCTGTCGTGTTTATAGATTAAAAAAAAAATTCAGTAAAACACCAAGCCTGTCTGGCTCGGCTTGGAAAGACTCGAGCCGAAAGTTCAAGTCGAGCCTATTTTTTTTGGCTAGCTCGAGTCAGGAAAAGGGCTCGGTCATTTTACTCGAGTTGAGCCTAAAATTTTGGCTCGCGAATCGCTCCGCTCGACTCGTTGACATCCCTAATATTATGTAAAGGAGGCAATAAGAAAAAGAAAAGATTGACACCAAAAATAAATTATAGATTATTTGTAAGGCAATTTGCATTGTAACTATATCAACATCCACACAGAGCTGAAGTGTTGAGTTGTTAAATTCACAAATGTCATTTTTCTAAAACTTGTATTGAATATGTAACATGGAATTATTTGTTAAAGCGTGTTTGGGAAGTGTGTATCTACTTTTCTAATTTTTTGGATAAGATTATTTACTTTGTTTGGTAAAAATTAAAATCCTAATTTTAATTTAAGTCAAAATTAATAATTAATTTTATACATAGAATTCAAGAAATTTAATTTTTCGATAAAAAATAGCTAAATATATGTTCAGAGAGCCTCAAACGGACGCCACTAGGAGCGTAGGCCTTCTCCCTACTCTCACCCCCTCATTTTATGCTGTTTCCCTTACCAATTTCTCCAAATAAACCGTCCGGCCTCTCTCTATGACCCCTATATACACGCGTTAAAGATAAAACAGCAAAGATTTATACGAGCAAACACCGATTATATGTGTTTATAGATATATTTCTATCCAGAAAAAAGTGGGTTCGAGGATTTTATGATTTAGTTGATATTATTGTCAAGAAAAAACTGAGATCTTGCCCCTTCCTACAAATACACTCCAATTTGTAGCGGGCAAGGTAATAAGATAAATTTAATGTCTTTTAGTTTTTAACTTAATTTAATTCGACCAAGCTTAAATTATTGATTTGTCTTTACTCTGATTTCCTGAGCTTTGGACATTGATTTGATTACAAAAGGAAATTTTTTTTTCTGGAGTTTTGCTAAAAAGTTGCTAAACCGCTATTTTATTCCGCCGAATTAGCTACTTCTAATCGGGGCGGATTTTCATTCTCTCCCTTTTTCTGTATGTTTTGAATTTGGGGTTTTCGGTGCTGAGAAATTGTTGTGCTGATGGTGGATTTTATCTAGGATTTCAATTGACATTCCGAAATGTAAGGACTTTTCCAGAGAGAACACTACTCTCAAGATTGCAAAATTAAAGGGATTTGCCTTTTATCTTCTGATGAACCAAGCTTCAAATCCGCTTTGACTTCCAGCATTGCAATTGCATGAATAGTTGTTTTCTAAAGGGAATGGAAGAGGACTGTTTATATAAATTTTAAGGCAGTGATCGAGGTAGGAAAGAGAAAAAGAAAGAGAGGGAATATGGTAATTTTGTGTTGAAGAAGTGCGATTTAGGGTTTCCACCATTTTGTTGCAGTTTGATTGAATTTGGGGATGATTTTGGGGTTAAATTTTGGTGATAAAGTGGACAAGTTGAAGATAGTATTGAGTGTCATTGGCTTGTTAGACTGATCCGATCAATTATTAGTGATTCCTTTTCCTTTGTCAAGAAACCTTTAGGATAAACATAGTTTCTGGGGACGGTTTAGCTGCAATTTAAGTTTCTCGTATCTGGTGATTGGTTAAACTAGTGTTAATTTTATTGCTACTTATTTTGTCTTTCAAATTGCTGTTGAGTTTGATCAGTTCTTTGACACTGCAATTGCATATTGGAGCTAAGATTGAGGTGTATATAAGACAGTGGTATTGTGGCATGCATGTGGTGTGAAATATGAATTAAAAGAAGTGGGTTTTTGGGGCTTGCCAGTAGAGAGAAGATAATAGTATTGAAGCTTGAACTCAATGTGGGGTCATGGTGCATAGAAAGGAGCATAATTGTTGTTCCATTCCCATAGTGGAACAATACTATTGTGAGAAAATAATTCATTCATATTGTTTTCACAATAGTAATTATTTTGCTTGTTGTAGGATTGTGTGCAATGTCTCGCTGCTTTCCATTTCCACCACCAGGATATGAAAGAAAGCATCAATCAGAAGATTTGGACGTACTGAGAGAGGTTTGTTTAGTCTTCTCCTGCCATTATACTTTCGGGACATTTCCATCACATTTTCTAGATATGTTTGAATGCAACATATATATGTATATATGAATTTCTAGAGTTTTGTTACTGTTGTTGTCATCTCTAAGGTGTACCTATTTCAATTTTCACTCTCTAGATGTTAGTGGCTTAAAGCTATAGATAATTAAATCTATTTACCCCTAATTTTTAGATTATGTGTTAGTTCGCTACCTAACACTATTGCGCCTTCTTTTTGATGTTTTGATTATAGTGAGCCACAAGTGGTTATTGAGTTTGTTAGTTTTTTTGGATGGATGGATGCTTCCAGGTTATTGACCGTTACATTTTTACTTAGTTGGATAGATATGTCAATCAGCCCATGAATGATTGTGATGTCGGACCAATTGAAACAATTAATTGAAAATGAAAACATATCTATGAAGAGGAGGAGATTAAACGAAGAAATGGTAGACGAAGAATCAACAGAAGAAATAGAAGAACTAGAAGAAAATAGAAAAGAGAGGAATTTCGCCACAAGCCAACAAATACTTTATTCATTTACCAAAACGTCTTAATTACACAATGAATCAAATATAAATAGTAAAACCAAACCCTAAAGAGAGTGGGTTTGGGCCAAACCCATTGTACAAGTCTAATAACATAAATACAAAAAAAGTCCGAAATGTAAATAAGAGTCCAAATAGAAATAAATAAAAATGGATGTCCTCATCAGATTGCCTATGCCGTGCAGATGGAACTTTATTTTATTACTAATTTTGCTGGGTGAATGTCGCTCAGATCATGTTATAGCTCTCATATTTCTCATGCTGCTGCATTTAATCATGCAAAAGCTTCCCCCTGCCAGCTTTCTTCCCCCAGGGATTTGTAGCAAGCCTAACATTACAAGAAAAAGGAAGCAAATAAATTACTATTTGTCTTTGATGAATGACTCAACTCATGTTTGTTAAATTCTAGCACGTCTTCTTGCTGGTGTATTGTGTTAATCTTTGCCCTTACGTCTGACATTAATGTTGACCTGGCATCAAACTTTGCTAAAGAGGTTAATCATTATTCGATTCAATTATATTTATCTATTTATTCATCTGGAAGTGGGATCAAACTTTGCTAAAGAGGTTAATCATTATTCGATTCAATTATATTTATCTATTTATTCATTTGGAAGTGAGAATACACGGATGAGGTTAGAAGAAAACGTTTTAGATGGGCAAGGTTTACAACCAAAATAATTTGAAAGAAACAAAGAAAGATGATGAGTTTCAACTTTCAAGTGCTATTTCGCGGTGCACTGGTCCATTGACATGTAAATGTTGCTATGGATTCTCAGAACGACTGCGAGTTGGGATTACGAGCTTAGAAAAGGATGGTTGAACTAGGTGAATTGTGCTACAATTTAGCATTTATGGAGTACCTGAACTTTAATATAGACTTCATGAAACCTAAATCGATATGGGTTAAGAACTTCCAATTTGAATCTAACTAACAATGAACTGTCTCTAAAAATTAATAGACAAAAGCAGAAGGTTCCAGAGTAGAGTGCTGGGGCAATAATATTATTATATTTAGCAAATATCAATTTTCTGAGATATTCGTGAGCCCCAAAAACTGGTAACAGAGCTTAAAATCTAGGAACAACAAAAATTTAGTAGGCAGTTTGACTCATAAACTAATTTGTCAAATGGAGCAGTCTAATGTATGCATTTGATCAAATGAAGTTACTGAATGGTTTTCTTGTGGTAAAATGTGGCTCTTTATGGTCCCATACAGCTGTAAATATTATTTAGAGCTCGATCTTCGTTTATGAGTATAGGAAAGATTCGACCTTGAACATATTTTGCAACTCTTAGCTTGTACTACACCAAAGCAACTTGTGGAAAATAGTTTTATACCTATATTGTATAGTTGATATCTTAGCATATTTATAGGAGAAAGATTATGGCATTAGAGGAGATGTTTGGGTATAATTATAGGAGAATTGTTAAGAAGTTTTTAGGCTTTCTTTAGAATTGTTCAATGAAATATATTTGTTGCTGTAGCTTTTTATAATTTTTCAATGAAATATATTTGTTACTGTAGACTTTAGGATTGTTCAATGAAATATATGAAATTTTACAAAATTCATCAGGGTATCATAGCATGCCTCCTTAATTTCTTTTGTGGCCCAAACTGTGAAAATTTTCCTCTCAAGTGCCAGAATTTTGTTCTTTGTGGCCGTGAAAGCTGAAAAGAAGTTTTGATATTATGGATGATTAGTCCACTTGCAAAACAGTTTCTCAATCCGCTTCAGCCTATTTCCTGTCTGAATTAAATGGTTTTTATTTAGATGTATTTCAGTCATGTTCAATTGTTTTTGGCTCTATTTATACCAGCTCAATGCTGGTTTCTTCTCCCACTTTGCACAAATGTAGAACATTTCTTGACTCATTCCGGCGTATTTCGGACAATGTAATTGAACTATCATCTGTCATCTGATTCTTATTTATCAATCACCTAAACTAGTCGTGCTTCCTTTTTTGTCAGCATCACCAAGTGAATGCATGTGCTCACTCGACTTGCTTAAATGGCACTAGCTATTCAAGTTATTATCGAGTCATTTGATTCCACAGAGCTATATATCACACGACTACTCATACAAATTTGTTTGTTTCCTTTGCCCTTTGTTCAAGCAGACAAAAAGTTAAATTTGCAAATGGCTCACTATCATCTTTTACCATTGTTAAAAAAATGAGACAATCATCAGTTTTGGTCTGGTGGGACTGGTGGATTGTCATTATTTATTTCACATTGTGATAACACATTGTAATGTGGTTAAAGGGGATGGTGCTTGTAGTGGCATCATAGAAAAGAAAATTAGTTATTTCTTATAGTGGTTCTATCTGAACGAACTTTAACCAACAAATAATTGAAGTAAATGCTAAAGATATAGTTCTTTAAACTTAAATTTCTGCAAATTGGAATTCACTGGACTGAGAAATAAAAGCTTTTCAATTGTTATTTTTCGGGAACAATGTAGCCTGTCAAATCTTAAGACTCAAAATTCCTATTCTAACTTAAACTGATATGAAAGCAATCCTAGTAATATTTGGAACCTAAAAGAAATACTTAAAAAAGTCCAAATAAAGTCTAATAGCTAACTAGTTTAAATCGAGTGTAATATGAATAAGAATACTAGTCCGAGAAGACTTCAGAAAATCGAACTCTCGCATCTGCTTCAATTCCTTGAGGGTGAATATATCTCCCTTCGACAAGAAACTTGCATATTTCACTTGGTGGCAGGATCTAATCACTTGAGCTCTTCTCCTGATATGTAAGTTCATTTTGTAGAAACTTCTTGCCATTTAATTGCCTCACTGAAATAAAAACCCTCTTCATATTGATTCTTAAACTCGTCAAATCCTATTATTCGAGCACGCCTTGTAGTTGGCAAGTAACTACATTGCTAAGTGCATCAACTACTTTGTTACTTTCTTTGGCTTTATGCATTCAATGAGAATAAAAATTGTTAAAGGAAAGAATTCCATTCGTCATGTTTTAGATTAAGTTTTTTTCCTTTTTTAGTAAATTCATACACCCTAGTGTCACGTGATTGGTACCAACAAGAAGTCCCAAAACAACAAATAGTGTACCAATCTTGAAAAGCTCAAACCTAGGCATGGAAGTCCAAATCATACATTGACCAATAGTATGTGACAGATCATTTCCCAAGTGCATCGACCACTTTGTTACTTTCCTTGGCTTTACACATTCAATGAGATTGAAGAGTGTTAGAGAAATTCCATTCGACATGTTTTATATTGAGATTGTTTTGTAAACTCATATACCCAAGTGCCACATGATTGGTACAAACAAAAAATCCCAATTAACAAATAGTAAACCAATATTGATCTCAAGCCTAGGCATGAAAGTCCAAATCATAGGTTGACTAAAAGTGTATGAATTTTTTTTATTTTTTGTGGAGTGGGCACATATTTTCCATCTCAACTTACAACGCCCCCTATCCCCACCTCACTCCACGACAAAAAATATATCAAAATCTGACATTATATAAATTGGAGCTTGCGTCATGACTCTCTTCAATTGTGTAGTCTCTTCTTTAAATCCTCATTGATATGGCTCACTATTGCACCCTCCACTTAAAATACATTGATCTTATCTTTATATGGCTTTAAGCCTTATAATGAAATTCAAAACCAATTCATTGCTCATGAAAGAACACTTCTTCAAGTTATCATAAAACTTCTTGTGTCTCATAGCATCTAGGACTTGTCTGATATGATTTGTATGCTTATCTTTGCCATAATTGTAAATTTTTATATGTGGCCAACATAAACCACAAAAGCTTCAATGAAAGTTGTTCATAATACCGTCATCACTCCCCATGAAAGTGTTGGGTGCACTGGAAAGACCAAAAGCACGCAAGAAATTCAAATAGTCCATCTGGAATGCAGTTTTCACTCATTTCCACTTCTAAGCCAAATTTGGTGATAACCACATCTTAAGCCTAGCTGGAAAATAATGTTGAGCCAACTAGTTGGTCAAGCATCTCATCTAGCCATCGAATTGGAATCTAGTGCTTAAGAGTAATCTATTTAATTGTGTGGCCATCTACACCCATTCTCCATGACCTAACCTTTCTTATGTGTGAGGATGTAGCTGGTTTTTGTCCTACTTTTGAATTCATTGACTGATAAATGAATACTGCAGCTTACGTGTGGGAAGTGGTCATTGGAACTGTACAATGGAGAGGGAGGGAGCATCTCTTCTTTGTTGTCTCAAGATTTTGCATTAGTCTTTTGAAGTTTGTTGATTGGAGTGATTTGCATTTGGAGTATATGTATGAAAATTTAAAGATTTTCTGTAATGGACAATGTATTTGACTTTTGATTGGGAGTTTCTGACCTTCAGAATCCCTTCCCGTAAAATTCCTGTTGAGTGATCATGCTCATTAGGCATTCATCTTCAACTGTTATTTATATGATTTTGTCTTCTAATATCAGATGCTATTTTGATTTTAGTTGTTATATTTAGTAAATTTCGAGATGATTTTGAGTAGGATGTATTGATGCATATTCAGGAGAAGCGCAAGGAGAAAAAGCATAAAAAGGAAAAGAGGGACAAGGAAAAGGAAAAGGGAGAAGGTAAAGAGAAAAGGGAGAAGGATAGAAGTGAAGGGAAACACAGAGAAAAAAGAAGCCGAAAAGAAAAACACAAAAACAGGAAGGATAAACATGGGAACAAGAAGACGGATGAAGAGGACCAAGGCAAAGATAAAGAGAAAAGCAGCATCTCTGAGGAGTCGACAGTTGCTGGCAAAATTGAGGGAAAAATTGAAGAGAGGCTTCAACCAACAGTGCATAACGAAGCTACAGGAACTTCCTTGGATGAAGTGAAACATGCTACACAGTTTCAGGTTCAGAATGGAGGGAAACCTATTCAAAACAACCTCGTTTCCATGGAGCTCAAGGAATCAAAGTTTGCATTGGAGCCAAACAGTAGGATCAGAAATCATGAGAAGGAATTAGTGAACCAGTTACTTGAGAGGGTCTCAGGAGTGTGCAGAAGGGGGGATCAAGATGCAGAAAGAGCTACTGTGAGAGATTCTTCAGGATTATTAGCAGATGACAAGGGACAGAACAAAGAAAATGGAGTTCACAGAAAAACTAGTGTGCCAATATGGAACCTTGCTGGAATGGCCGAATATAAAGTTGGAGGGATGCCCAGACTGGTGGAGGAACAGGGTGACCAGAGATTTGAAGGGAAAGAGAAATCTGAAGAAAAAGGCGATGATCCCAGACTGGTGGAGGAACACGGTCACCAGAGATTGGAAGGGAAAGAGAAATCTAAAGAAAAAGGTGATATTAAAAGGGGAGATAGTCATAAGGATAAAGAAAGAGAGAAACATAGCCATAGAGAGGACAAAAACAAGGAGAAGGAGAAAGAAAAGAAAAAGGTGAAGGTGAAGGAAAAAAGCGAAGATAAGAAAACTGAGCAGGATGTATCGAAATATCAACACAGGAATGATCTAATTGGTGTTGCTAGTTGTAAGAGCACGCAAATGTTGAAAGACTTCAACAGCAATGCTGTTAATGAGGGAAATATGAGGAAAAGAAAAGATTTGGGTAGCAATGGCTTTCTCCATGGTGAGTCCTATCTTACAATGAAAAGGATTAACATTATTGCAACTATTTCAAAAAATATTTGATGTTTATTTCCTACTATCGAGAAAAAATAATGGGAAAGCTCTGAGTAGGTACTGCTTGACATACTAGGTATCTTTACCCTGTCTTGAGCACAGCTTAGTTTGTTAGAATTCAGTGTTGCAATACAAGCTTGTCGACTCTAATTTAACCATTTTATTGGCTGATAGTGTTACTTGTTTCACAGAGAGTGAAGTCAGGCCTAATAAATTGCTGAAGGAAGCTTCTCATCAATTGACAGAGAATGGAAGATTGGACACTGCCCGAACTCCCAACCTGTTTACTTCTGATAAGCAGCAAGGAATTCCTGACAACATTCGACTGGGTAAAAAGTACCAGGGGGTAAATGGTAGAATTGAAGCCCAGAAATTCTCAGTTTCCAAACCAAAGACTTCTACTGCAACTATTATTGCTAATCAAATTGCTGAAGCATCTAAAAAACCTATCGACTCTGAAAAGTGTAAGAGCAAGGCACTCACAGTTCCCAAGGTGGAGGGTCAAATTACTGAAGCATCAAGGAAACCTCCCCATCCAGATTCCAAGTATCTGAGTGTGGTACTCACACTACCCAAGATGGAGGAGTGGTCTGAATTTGACGACCATGACTGGTTGTTTAGCGGGAAAGATCTTCCATCAGTGAAGCCTGAGGCGGGTTCTGATCAGATGAATCAGGAGCAATGTGTGTGGTCTGAAGCTATGCATGTGGAGTCAACCGATGTTTATGTGATGCCATATGTCATTCCTTACTAATTTGTGTTCATCCAGCAATACCTGACAGCAATTCCTCTGTCGAGAGCAAAGCCTGTTGATTGTGTAGCAGCATCTGGCACTTGAGATGGACACTGGTGTAATTGCTGGATCCTTTGCTTATCACACACCCCTCGGGTGCTGTAGTTGCTTGCTCATGCATTCTGGAATTGTTTCTGTCAACTGAGGTCAATTGCATACCAGTTAGTGGCAGTAATGCTGTGCATCTCCTGATCCCTACACTACTGACCGTGTGAGTTTTCAGCTCAAGTTGAAGATCTAAATGATTCTAACAGAAACTATAACAATGTCCGAGATGAAAATTGAAGAGTGCTGAGATGGTAGATGCATAAGCTTCTGCAATTTGTTTCATTGCTTTAAGCTGATATGCTCTTCGTTTCTAATTGAGTGTAACAGTAGATGTAGTTTCACTTCATCACCACAATTTTGTTTTGTAATATATAACATCGTTTACTTGTAATGTAAGATAGGAGGGAAAGAAAGGGATAATTCCATTCACCTATTTAACTTCGGATGTTATAGTTTATAATCACCTTTCAGGTTTACTAGTCCTTAACATATGACAATTGATAAGATGGAGAATAAGACGTTATCAACCAACAGATTTATTGCCTTCAAATGGTCGAAATACACTACTGGTTTAACATCCTTTGTTGCCTAAATTTATACAGAACACAAGACCATAATGGACTGTTCTTTGTGATGTTTTTGAGAGAGAGGGCTTAAAAGATCCTGTGAGGAGAATCTCCCATTTTTATGGAGCATGTTCCTTTCTTGTATGACTGTTCACTTGCACAACTAACACGATGAACTCTAGCTCACCAACTGGTCTGTCTTGTTGAATGTCTTGGTGTTACATGAACATACTTTCTAATTTGAACTCAAGTATCTTGTCGCATCAACCTATCAAATTTGACCTTCCATGGCAATGGTTGGAATTTCTAGCTCAATAACCCCTTTCTCACCTTGAATGCAATGTGCTGTGCAGCTGCCTTTCATAGCCCTGTGGCTGTGGAGTGAGCTAAGGCAACATTTTGGATGCACATTCTTCACATTTGAGGGTTACTTGAGCCCCCATTTTTCTTAAAAAATGCATTTTGAAATAGTGTTACAATGAAGAATGTGTAGTTAAAAAATAAGGAAAATTTTTAAATTTATGTTTAATATTATTTTATTGAAAATTTTGTGATCAAAATGATGTCAAATCGTCATTGAAGAATATATTTTGATGAAAATAATAAGGCGCAAACAAAGGCTTGATGTGCAATCACTGAATTCACTAATTTACACGTCATTATCAATTCCATCTATCATTTGTCGTCATCATATCCATACATTTCAACATGTTATTGAGTGGATGGATGGGTGAGATATTTCTGGTGGTGCTGAAACCAAACTATGAATAGACTTCAAACTCCAAGTTATAGCCACTCAATTTTCAGGTCCCATCCATCAAACAAAAATTGCCTCCTCAATCCACTTCTAGCCACTCAATTTCAAGTCCCACCAATCAACACATTACAAATCGCAAATTACAAGTCACAAATAAGTAGATAGACGAGAGGAGGTTCCATAACAAACCTAAAAGCAAAACTGAGAGCATAAATAGACCAAGCTCAGTCAAAATATATAGGATGTTCCCAAAAAATAATCAAATTGCAATGGAATAAGAATATAAATTTAGTAGCCCAAACAAGATGTCCAAATAAGAGCATCCATGCCAAACCGATAAATCATTCATACCAGAAGGATTATATCCCTTGACAAGTTGTGAAAAGTTTAATCACAATCTCTTAATCAACCTATCAAGTAAGTGGAAGATTCATTAAATTGTAAAATGCCATTCCCTGCGATAATGTGACGTGCTCCCAATGCCAATAAGAAGTATTTAACATCCAAAAAACTGCCAAACAAAATGAGTCCATGCCTAAATATCACGAGTACCACCTCATCCCGGGCCACCGCGTGGATATCTAGGTTTGATTCCAGAAAAACCACAATCTCGCACTACTCAAGTTCATTTAGGAGAAACCAAAAGCTCAAGTATGCAAAAAAGTGTGTTTAAATACAAGTACATATATCTTGCCTATAATATGCTTGGTATATATAGACTGTATACAAAGGTAATCTCTAATATAGTTCTATTTCACTATATTTTCCAAGAAGAATGTAACTGTAAAACTATATACATTCGTAACAAAAACATTAGGTCTAATGTTTTTGTTACGTAGTTTTCAATGGTAGTGGAAAGTACAAAGAACAAATTTTAACTTATTTTTCTTCGCTAATACTATTCAACACTGTCTCTACCTTATCAAATATTATATAGCAGTTCTTAAGATGATTCATTCCTTTGCCTGCGCATTTTTGCTCCCCAAGACATATTATCACCAGAGTCTTTGTACATGCTTCTTTTCTTGAGATGGGAAAGTTGCGACTGCCAACGGCTCTTCCATTCACTTTTGTCCTCCATTTGCTGATTGCACAAATGAAGAGAATTTAGAAAGACAAGCAGCCAAAACTAGAAATTGCAATGTTTTAAAAACAATTTGGGAATCTACTAGAAAAAACGAAAGAGTTGAAGCAAGGTTGAACCAGCAGTTAAAAAAATATAAATAAAAATTAATTTTTTCAAATAGTAAACAAGAATTAGATAATACTACTAATTGAGAACAAATTTTTTTCCCAATATGCAAAAACATTTACACGAAGTATCAATATGAAAAGAGAAAGCCTTCTAAATTTTAATTCCCATAAAGTAACAATGTTGACAAATGGAATATAACATCCAAGACATATAAGCTTGGTTGTAAGTTTAGTGAATCCCACATCCCAACTTTAAGATTGGAATGAGAGAACTAATGGTTATAAAATTGCATGTCATAGGTATAATGGTTGTGCAGTGAAAACTATGCATACAAAATCCCTGGAGTAATTTTGTTCAAAAGATTGACCCTTTCAATCTGAGAAAATCAGCTCTGGTTCACTGGTTTCCTTGGAACCCATCGGTTTTGTGGTTTTAAGGCCAGTTTCTTTTTAAATGGTTTTTTGAGGTTAACCGATCCGGTCCTTGAACTAGGCGGTCCAGAACGGTTTTGATAACATTGAGAAATTGCTAATTAACAAACCAAAATCAGAAGCCCAGTTATCCTTTGCGTGGATATCCTTAAAAGCAGCATGCCTATGATGAAGATAAGAAATCAGCTTGAGTAACATATAAATGAATTATAACTAAGGAAAATATTGGCACTCCACAAAAAGATTACACAATCATATGATTTACGATCCATGATATCCTAAATCAAGCAAACAACAACTGTTCTTTGTCCTTTCTTACAAATAGACAAATGCACATTTTTATTAAGAAACACAACGGAGAGCACTAAAGTCCATTTATAGTGTCAATATCATCGCTCAAAGAAAAACTTTCACCCATAAATAACCGAGCATATTATTTTTCATCTGAAGACACAAGAAATCAAGTTGTCATTGTATGGGAACATCCTTAGTCCCTCAATTATGTAATAATATGTAACATCCATTTTGTGGTTGTACCTTTCAGACTTAGCTTGGAGTATAAATTTGTGCAACTTGAGAGCAATGTGTTTCAAATACTAACAGTGTGTGGGAAGAATATCATATGACTTGAAAGCTATTGAAAGTAAAAGTATTAGGTTCTGTATAGATCCAAAGAATTGAAAGAGCATTCTCAAGACAAAGTTCTTCATCTACCTCGAATTGGATGCCTCAGGAAGAATGACACAAATTGGAGATCTTTAGAAATTTAAAAACTTAAATGAACCAATCTAAAATATAGCTCCAAACAACCATTAATTCACAAAAAAGCAAACAAACTAGATATTGAATTGATACCGGGGGGAGAAACCACAACAAACTCAATTCAAGATTCTCTACAAACACATAATATGGATTTCTCAATACTACACTAGAATCCTTGTCTTTACAGCAAGCAAACTAAGTAACATATAGAGGCACAAGAGGTCCTATAAAAAATTAAAATTTAAAATAGATCGATTTTTATAACCATTTTATCCAAAAACTAAGGTTTTACTTAGGACATCTATTCATTTTAAATATTGCCCTTGTTTGAGCCCCATTTTTCCACCAAAATACATTTTTCAACAGTGATTTGACGCCATTTCAACCACACATTCTTCAATAAAATAATATTATACGCAAATCAAAAAATTTTCTTATTTTTTAACCATACATTTCCCATCAATACACTATTCAAAAATTCATTTTCTCCTCTAAAATGGGGATCAAACAAGGGCATTATTTTAAATGTGAAGTGAAGAGGTAATGTGTATTTATTTTATATATTACGCTTTACACAATTTTTATAAATGGATAACATATGCTCTTTTCTTATTAGTAATACTCCATCTGTCCCATAAATAAAGGCTTGTTTCTATTTCACGTAGATTAAGAAAATATAATCACTATAGTTGAAAAAATAAAATTTTCTTACATTTTTTTCCTAATATGCCCCTATACTAAATAATGATTTAAATAGTAATAGTTCATATTTATTAATAAAAATGTACATTAAATAGGAGAAAATTAGAAAAAAATAAATCATGGATACTCTAGACAAAGAAAGAAGGACAAACAAAAAAGAAAGCAAACAAGTGAGTATCATGTAAACCATCTCGTCTAATAATTTTAGGAAGAACCACTTCTATTATTAAAATATCATAACATTAAGAGTGCGTTTAATTGCCAATACTTTCCATGAAAAATGTGTTCTTTACGCCCAAATTTCTATTTTCGTGCTGTTTGATTCACTTTTTTCCCCATAGAAAATATTTTCATAATTTTGATCACGTGACCATATTTTCCTCAAAATCAAGGAATATATTTTCTTTAGGGGCATAGAATTTTATTTTTCTGAGAATCCTCTCTCTTATCTATGACTTCTTTCTCATCTATCTACTGATAAAAAATTGACAGGTATAATATTTTATAAATTGAAAACTAAATCAATCAAAAATATTTAATTAATAGTTTCCATGCAAATAAGTTTCAAGCAATTGCTTAGAATTTATTTCTTTCCATTCAAATTCTATGTACAATCAAACGCACCCTAACAAAACCTACAAATTAGGGGGAAAAAACCACGAACCTCATCGAATTCGAAAAACCTACGAGCAGAGAAAGCCAAGTGGATTCCCTTAGCCATGTCCCGATCATACAAAGCTCTTCTCCTAGGATCCGACAGCGTTTCATATGCCTCCTGGACCCGTATAAACATCTTGGTATACTCCTCGACCCGATCGAGTGGCGAAACATCGGGGTGGTACTTCCGAGCTAGCTGCTTGTACGCTTGTTTAATTTCCAAAAGGGTTCCAGTCTTGGGTATGCCCAGTAAATCATATAAAGTGGCAGGATCGGAGCCAGAGAACTGAACGGTGTCGTTTGGGATCGACTTGGATGGTCCATGATGGAAAACGGTTCTGATTCGGAAAGATACCGAGGCTGGAAAGGGAATTATGTCGGGTCGGGTGGGTAAGAAGGAGAAGCATGGGTCGGGTCTGGGAATTATCACAGCAGAGTTGCAGCACATTTTCAGTGTGTGATTTCTCCTTCTTGGGAGGGATTGAGGATTTTGTGACTATGTTTGTTTTAATGGGGAAGTGGTTGGATTGGATTTTCATTTTTTATTTTCAATTTCAAAACGATTTTTAGTTTTTTGCGAAAATCCATTTTGAGCGTTTTTTACATTTATAATTAAAAATGTTGAAAATGATAAAAAGTCGTTTTGTATTTTTAGTTATAAATTTTAACTCGTTTTCAAAAATAACGGATCAAACGCAAAATGCGATTTTCGCGTTTTCGAAAACGGAAAATAGAAAATGGGTCGAAAACGGCAAACCAACCACGACTTTAGGTTTATTGGCAGCGGCTTTAACGTAGGACAAATAGTTTAGTATTTTATTATATTTTTCTTTATTATATTGTTCGACGTTGAAATTTAAATTAAATAAATATTTAGGCTTTATTTTAAATTTATTTATTTTTCAAACTCTTTTAAAACACCCATTTTTTCAATAAAATAATTTTATATTTAAATTCAAATTTTTTAACCATAGACAATAAATCACTACCAAACATAGGCTTAAAAAATTCACTGATTCCATGTAAGTACCCGGTTGGAAACAACACTTGGTCGATTTAAGGAAAAAATTTACGACTCCCTTCTATATTAGTTAGTAACCAATGTTCCGTGAACAAAGAGCGAAATAAAGTTCGTAATACAATCGAAATCCAACAGTGGGATATTGAGTGCAACGTAACAAAAAAACCAATGAAATAAGGTGGCTCTTATTCTCATTTCATGACAAAATTCTCGAAGAAGAGCTACTAACATTTTTTTTTTTTTTCTGTCAAGAAATTTCAAGACGTCATTCAAAAGTGGGGCTTAGGGAATCTACTTTCTGATCCATTAAAAGAAAGAAACAAAAATTGAAAAAGATTTTTGGTACATTAATTTCTATCCTTACATGTACAAAACGGGGAGAAAATGAAATGTAGAACACGATAAGATTAGTCCCTCAAAATCATGATTCTGAGTAATATTTGATATTTTGCTTATTTGTGTATAATTGACTTGTCAATTTCAAAGAATGGAACAAAATACTAGGAAAAAAAATCTTAATCACATACATCAAGCTGACGTTCATAACCCTTCTCCTCCATTGACAACGGTGTTGACAAGAGAAACCTTTAAAGAAGCGGAAGGACTTTTCTCCCTCATGGCCATTCTGGAGTAAGAATTAGTAGGATAAGAAGGTTGAATATATGGTATGATCGTGACTATGTATTTTAGCGCGTTATACTTTGGCCATTGAGACATTTTGTGGATTATTATGAACAAGAAATTTGCCTATAAATGTCCCAAATACATTTATGATTTCAACATATCACCTTCTTGATGACTGTTGGTCACGTTTGATATACCCAACCCTTCGAATGGTTGGGAATTTCATCATCTAATGGTAGGTTGATCCTACTACTTTTATTGCATTCAGTAGTGGACAACCCTAGATACCATTGTATGCCATATAGGCCTTGACTATCCAAAATTTTTCATGATCAGGAAGTAGTTGGACAGATGCTCATGGTAACTAGCATCTTGATCGTTCCTTCAGGTATCATAGTTCCTTTTTTAAATCTTTGTAGAGGAGTACTGACCAATCAAATCTTGCTCAGTGATATTGTTAGGTTTTGTTGATATGAAATAAATTCGGGCAATGATATTTAAACACTATGGATTAATTTCATAGGTTTCGATCGATGAATGAAATATTTATTAACACCACAATGGATCGGCTCAACCAGAAAATAAATTGGGTCTTTAGAAGTACCTATTAATTGTGGAAATTACACCCAACCATGTTTTTCAACTTCCGATTTCAAAAATCAAATTTAAAGAATATTTATACAAAAATCAAATCATAATTTATTTTTAATATTAATAATTTTATTATTAAATAAATTAACCTACTAACATCAATCAGCCCATCCTACACAAACCTAATTTATTTCACACCATCTCATTCATTTCATATCGATCTATTATGCTGCATCATTTCATACCTTTTGCCAACGATCGATAGTGGTGAAGCACGATGCCGCTGCACACGAAACAACCCTGATGGGCAGAGGGGACCGACATCGACGAAGTGCAGTGCTGCTGCGCACAAATCAGTAGCGATGCATGCCCATCACGGCTGCTTTATGCGTAGCGACGATCTGCTACTGCTTCGTCGATGGCCTCAACCCGAAGAGCCCGGCTATGTGTGTGCATCATCAGTGACATCATGCTTCCCGCAGCGGCATCGCCATTCCTGTAGTGACGATGGTGCACTTCAAATTCTTTCCATTATCTCTTCATCCATTGTGTGTTGTGGTGATCGTTGTGCAGTGTGGTGTGGTATAATATCCGTCAGAGTTAAAGTTTCATGTCTATTTGAAAATAGATTATGATGTTAGTGGAAACATGGCTGCAGATAGAATTGCGAATGACGACTCAAGGAAAAGTGATGCATGTCACTATACATATAACCCAATTAACGTCTAAACATATCTCTGTTAGGTGAAGTTTTAAGAGCTAGAGAAAGATAGGGGCAATCTCTGTACTAGGTTGGACACATATGTTAACGATCAAGCGGGTAATCTGTTGGAATGCGGAAGCGGAATTACCAATAAAGTAAAAAAAAAATCTTTAATTCAATTAAACAAGATCGTCTAAATGTTCAGGTGTATGTTATCTCAAGAATAAAGAATTCAAAATTTTACCTAAATTCGATAGTCAATTCTTGAATAAATTTTGAATCAGGAACTTCCAATCTTTTTGGATCATGAACATTCAATTTTTAATTACAAGAATTTGATATTTCAAACCTCCATGTCTTTTGTCGTATTCTTCAAAGTCAAGAATATATCGATGGGTGAACACCTTCTTTCAATTAAATTAAAAAACAAATTCTTGATCCAAATTGATGAGAGCGAATTTTTTTTTCTCTATCCAAATTTGAAACTATAAAATTATGTATTATGATTTTTGTACAACTACATAGAATATTTAGTTTCCATCTAATCTCTATTTATAGAGATAGAATAGTTTCAATACTTGTATAATAATAATAATTCCACAATTAAATAAGAGTTCTAATTAAAATTCAAGTAGGAGTTTTAATAAAGTCCAAATCTAATTAGTTTATATTCAATTACATGTATTCCTAGAACTTCAATTCCAATTATAATAAAATTTACAACTTTCATAGTGATTATAGCTAAGTACAAAACTTTATTATAATTACAATTAAGGCAAAAATTATTATAACTACTCTAATTAAATTTGAATACTTTATAATAAAGCTACTACAACGACATGATTGGACATATATTATCTAAGCTCTAATGATTAGATCTTGTCTAGTCGACTCTAGACCATTCAATTTAATTATTAATCTTTATTTTTTTTTCACTAAGGGCAAAAAACTGAATTCTTGAAATATATAAGATCACAGAAACCAATAAATTCGTAAACTTTCCTCCGACCCTCCGTATATGTATTTTATCCGCATTCGAGAATTAGGTATAAACATAAATGATCATTTTGCCATTCCAGTTATTCTCACTAACTTAAATTTTATTTTCTTCAACGATCATGTGAACTAATTACAAATGTCAAAATTTAACAGTCATTAAATACTGAACTCAAATTTTAATCGTTCAATAGGAAATACTTATGTAGTCACTCTGCCCTTTTTCAGGGTTACGGTTCCAATACAAATTCATATTCTCTATTTTGCTCATTCTCAAGTTCCCAACTTATTGATATATTTAATCTTACATATTGATGAATCAAAGAACCATTAAAATCACGAAAAGATATACATAAGCCTGTCATATGATTCAAATGAAATATACAGTGGTCAAGTGGAATTTAATTTTCCCATGGTCATTTAATAAAATTAAAATTTGACACGTGGTCTGGTCCGTTCAATACGCTCCAAGTGTACTAATGTCATCTTTAACTATTTTGTGATATGAACAAATCACAAATCTGAATAGTGAATATATCAACACTACAACCTTTCAGTACAAGGTGTCAATCATTGTACATTTTGATTGTAAACAAATTATTTATAATTAAAATATAAGTTATGTTACACTGTACTTCTCAACGCAAATACCCCAGTTATATTATCACAAGCGATCATGAGCACTTTTATTCGCATCCTCAATAATAAATAAATAAAATCACAATTTATTTATTATAAATTATTTTTTTACCATAAACAAATATACTATATGAGCACACAATTCAACGTAATCAAATGCCAAATGAGCACTCAATGAAATAATGTATGCGCCCCCACCACAAACCAGACTATCCTCTATGCCTACATAATGATTTTTACATGTTCCTGACATTTGTATAGTGCTACTATTTGAGCCATTTATTTTTGTTATGGAAAGCAAATCTTCGCTCCAAACTTAATGTGATTAGGAAAAATCAGAAAACATTATGATTTTTACATAATTCTGACATTACAGTCTATTTTTTCTGTCAATTAAGTCAGAGTAAAAAAGATCACCTTAAAGAATTAAGACCTATTTCGGAGCGATTTTTTCATCCAAAAAATTGATTTTTTGATCGTTATTTCATTATTTCAGTCGTCATATTTGACTTCTTATTTCACAGGTGAAACCCACTTTTCTCCTAACGGTCAAAAAATCAATTATCAAAATCACTCCCAAACAGGCTCTAAGATTTTTTTTTTTTTTTTTTGGTACAAATAAGATCAGCGAGGTGTCGATCTTTTGAAAAATTAAATGTATCTTTAATTTTACTTTTCTGTTTCTTTACCTTTTATCCCCGTAAGTTTTATATATTCAGACAATGGGGTCATCATTCAAAAGTAAATCCCCATTCTAGTGGTTATTCTCGGAAGTATTAGTTTTCATATTAAATCAACTTGCACACGAATGGGTTTTTTTTTTTTTTTTTTTTTTTCGATCTATAATATCCTCGAAAAGTTATTCTAATTTCCTGTTACTCTTCCTCTTTTGGGAAAGCATAAAAAAATTATGTGATGCT